TCCTTCACCGGCGCCGACGGCGCCACCTTACCTTCGTGGCTGGAGCGGACGATGAACGCGCTGGACGTGCACCTGGGCGATGAAAGACCTGAAACCTGAAACAAATGTCTCTCAGAATCCTTGAACCACGATGACTGGACATTAAATTATGCATACTGCTTTATGTTAAATGTTGGCTGCTGGGAAAATCATTTGAAAATGCAATAGACTAGTGACTAGACTTGTTCATTGTTCCGGATGAGTTGATGTAAACATCAGGAAAATATTAATGTTCGCCAAACCACGACGCCCGCTCCTGAGGGCTAGCGCGACTCAGCCAGAGCTTTTGACGAGGAGCTTTCTCATCTCGGCGGCCAGGGGACCTCAGCTGAGACGGGCACTCGGGGAAAACTGCTTGTGACGGAACCGGTCAAAGCAGTGCTTAAAGAGAAGTGTAGGATTTGATGCGCTTTCTGCTGTTTTGTGTACTGGGTTGGATAGTTTTGAGTTGTTGTTATCGCTTGTAACCGTCACCGATTCTACGGTTTCCGTGAGAGAATATGGATTGTTCAAAGACTGCTGTTAATCGCAGTCATAGAGCTATCTACTCGTACAAGTGCACCTAATGGTCACAAATTCCAGCGCATGTGTTTATCGGCAAAGTGTTGGCCGTGTATCGTACACCATGTCTTGGAGTTTGGAGTTCCGCATGCGGTGTTTGTCGAGAGATCCCATATTCTACAAACGGTTTCCATTTCAGGAGGATTTGATATCTCTTCAAAAGTCAGTTGTCCCGTTGTCCCAAAGACGCCATGAGGATTGTGCACATGGCCTTCACCCAAACTATGCAGCTAAGCATCAGGCACTGGCAATGGAGAGAACTTCTTGTGGGAATGGATTTGAAGGGAGTGCAATGCTTGAATCTGGGGCATGTGCCCAGATTTGTTGAAAACAATCAACATAAGATTACTGGTAACACATCCTCTACCAACTGCAGACCAGTCAATTTCTTTGTTCTTTTTCAATGAGTGGCTGAGGAGTAACGGTAGCGGGGTTATCAGGGTTTGTGCCAAAAGGACACGCGATCATATACCTACTGTAATCCTTCACACATGCGTGCTCTATGTGCTGTTTCAGGTCTGTATTTGCTTCAAGACCACGGCTATACTTCAACACATGACTGAGAAATACAAAATAGTACGTACAACTAACATGTTCACATATGCAGGCATGATTACACGTCTCAAGTTTCCCCTTTGTTGATCAGACCCAGTCCCTGCGCGACACAATGCCCCAGAAGCAGCAGCTGTTGCTGTTCCCAAGCATCTGCCGGACCAAAACATCCCACAGGCGGAGCATCGTCCAGCTCCCAGAACCCCGGAACATCTCCATGTTTTTCTAAAGTGATAGGATGGCCTCGTTCAAGCTACGTAGGAGAGATCAAGAGTGCATTGAGCATGCGCTCAGCTTGCGAGTACTAGTACTGCACATCGACACAATATGTGTATGTATGCCTTTTAGCTTGGAAGGATGTAATTCTGAATCCTGCACTCTTACTACTTGACCTCACAGTCTATTTGCAAGAGCTAGAATCAGCTTTCATGTTGACTGTTAGCTTTCCTTCTTGGCACTCAGATGAACACCACAAAAGGACACGTGCAGGGCTTTCAGTTGTCAAATCTTATAAGAAAAAGTAGATTTGTTAACCATGGCTTCCACAAAGAGCTTTCAGATAAAGGCTAGAAGACATATTGCTGCGGATCATATGCTTTCTGTGACCAGTTGCAGCAGAACTACTAGCGATGATCCTAAGGTCCAAGCTTCCACAAGGGAATCGTCATTAAGACGAATGCAAACCAGAGGCTCGCCCTTTGCGCATGGCCAACAAACTGGTTGTTACTGACCAACCAGCTTCTTGATTCACACACAGCGCAGTTTGATTCTAATTGAACTCTCCTCCTCAACATTCGGTCAGTGGAAACAATGATTTTAGCTGATGGGTGTAAGATTTGCTGTAAGGACGTGCAGCAGAACACGGTGCCGTAAGGTTGCCGGAAGTTGAAGTTGTTTGCATTCATGGGAGCTGGGCCCAAAGATAATTATTGAAGAACGGAACGCACATACCTTGGCCGTAAGTCTTGCCGAAGCCTACCGTAAGGCTAGAATTCTCGGAACAATAGAACACATTTGTTTGAACGCTCAAGTCGACTTGGAAATTGCTTGGTGGGTTGTGTGTCAATAGGATCAAGTAAACCAACCTAGCAATTCCCCTCATGATCCTCATGACTGGTCATGACTGATGACTACACAAGCAATGATGCGTGGAAGAAACGTTGATAACACAATAGCGTCCGTCGATTTGAGAAGTGAGGTATGCAACGACTCCTCTAACTGCTGCGCTCTTTAGAGAAGTGGGCGGCCCAGGGATGTGACGATGGCGGTTGAGGAGGCATTACTGTATTTTCTCATCAATAGAACTTGTAGTCCGTAATCATGTTGTTTAAAGTTCCATGATCCCTGAGTTGTGACAAGGTGTGTTTCCTGAGGACACCTTTGTCAACCATCGGTTGGAGAGCTTATGGGGCAAAGCCACCTCTTGATGTTGTTCTGCTTTCCAGACAGGTTCGTTTCCATTTTGTTTGCTTGTGTTGATTCACAGTCCGAATATTGTATTGCGCACTTGTTTTGAAATACTTTGAGTAGGCTGTTTTGGTTGGCCGAAGACCCTCGCAGCCGGGCTGACCAGGAGATCCCAATTTTATGGATGTCATGTGATGACGTTGTGTCTTTGGCACTGAACACAGTATATTAATGTACATATTCTCATGGGTTCATCACATGCACCTGAACACGTGCTCAAAACCCCGAACATCGCCTATATAGTTGTTCTTTGTTCCGAACTGTGCTTTCAAACAGGTTTGCCAAATCCATGCAGATCTGACATGATCTGACTCCTACTAGTGATGCCAGGAGCCCCTAGTAGCGTCCTTGCTCTGAGGTCTGTAAGCGCAGTGACGTGCCGGTGCAAGACTTCGTGGTGAGGAACGATAGCCCGTGTGGCAGCACCATCGGCCGGAAAGCTCAGCGGCGATTCCGACCATTGGCCGAGAAGACGACTACCGGATGTGTGGCGGACAGTGGGTGTCTTGGAAGAAATGAAAAGAAGCATCCCCCTAGGGCCCCTAGATCCTAGATAAGTAATTATAGATAATAATTGATATTTTGCCATGTGCCCATTGAAGAGTTTCAAAGGGAAAGTGGGTCAGAAAGAGGGTTTGTTCTGCAGTAGGTTTCCTGAACAAAAGCGATATATTTTGGGAAAACTGCACAGCTGGCACAGCTAACACTGCAAAGGTGGCAGGACAGCTATAGATTCCCGCCATTTGGTTCCATCATTTGTGTTTGGAGAGGCGAAGAACATTTAATGGGATCCATTGGCCAAACATAGAAATGGAGACCGCGTAAGCGCTGGCCACACCTGTTGTTTTTGCTTGTTTGTTTGTTTGTTTGTTTGTGTGT